CAGTGCCACTTTGAATTAATAATGTGGAAATCTATTTTTTTTAAAAAAATAAATATATCTATATTGTTCAAATGGTAACTAAGATCAGGAAAGTATAATTCATTTCTTTTATCTGATTATTCACTTCACAGCCACATCAACTCCATAATCATTAAAAACAAATAAAAGGTTATTGGATATCATCACGTAATTTGTCAAAAGTACTTTGATGAGGACAATAATAGTATTAATTTCTATATTAAATGGTGCCTCTTGCATCAAGTTTGAAAAGTTATTGACATTTTAATTTTTAGGAACTTTTAAGATTATAGGAATTCCGTTGACTAAATAAATAAAGATGATCCTGATGTAAAATAAATTAGGAAATAATCGATGATCCCATGCGCCATTTCCAAAGACCATTTGTCAAAAAAAAAGTTTCAATAATAATGAAAATATTCTTGCTTCACATTGAAATTTTAACCTTTATATTAGAAATAATTAAATTATTCAGTAAATTCAAAATAATAAATAATTTGGTAAACATTTTATTATTATTAAAATTTTTGAACCAATTGAAGAAGCAACAGAATGGCTAGGTGGCCAACAATATTGTACACTTACTTTAATATACCCATCAATCTATACATTAAAATATGATTATATCTTTGTCATACTAATTAAATTTGCTGAGTAGGCAAAAATACTATTTATGATATAAAATTTTAACAGAAGTAAAAAATTATGTGAAAAAATTATTGTAAAATATAAACTATTTGAAACTTTGGGATAAATATTATGCGCTTAATGGGTTCAACGTAAATGAAAATTGGATACCAAAAAAAAATACATAAATTTACACCGAAATCATATATGAACATGGAAATAAAAAAAAAAGGAATGAACGTTTAATAAAAAAAACCTTAAAAATTTAAATATTTCCTTTATCTGTAACTAACACCTCTGCCTTTAATAAATTCAAACAGCATGAAAAAGAATCTATCATTAGTATCATATAATAATGAGTCACGTGAGATGTCCAACACCCCAATTTAGGGTAACTTTGTGTATTCGAAATTTTCTGACTTTTACGCCTTGTTTGACTCGATTCATCTTTACCTTTTTGAGTTGGTGAAATCGTATCTTGATCCTTCTTCTGCTTTAGCTCTTTAACTTACCCTGAATAATTTTTTCTTCTTTCTCTAATCTTATTCGTTCTTTAACCGTTACATCAACTTCTAACTCCCTTTTACGATTTTCAAATTTATAATCATTTCTTTGTATTTTTTAATTTCATCATCTTTAACCGATATTATTCGTTCTAGCATTTCTATCTTATTTTGTTGGCTGCGCAAATCATGGAAAAATTTCCTCGAAGAATATTTGTGATAATTTTCTTGAAGACCTCGCCACTCCATTTTATTAGGAAAATTGTTGTATAGTACGTTATTACTGGATGTTTCATCTCTTGTGTAAAAAGTCATACCGGTATATTTCCTGGTTTGTTATGAGCGTTTGGTCCTAAGGCATCTCCTTTGAATTTTAGGTAGTTGTCTAACTTTGGCATTCCATCTTGGTTATGTATTTTTCCTCTACATCTTCAAACTCGTCAAAAAACTTCTCCATAAAGTTGTTAATCTTCTCTTTGGCATTAAAACTGTAACTTTTGACATATTTTTGTATAGTTTTATAATAAAAATTGTTTTTATCTTTCGTAAAAATTTTGGTTTAAAAAATCGGTGGAGAGAGTTTTATATTATTGTGATTTTATTGTAATTATTGTAATTGTAATTGTGAACATTAAAATTTGTACGAGCTCGCCTACTAATTGGAGTTTGAATTCCAAATTCTTTCATAATTTGTTCTTCGCGTTCTTTTTCCTCGACAAGTATCATTTCAACTGTAACTTCAACCTTACTATTTAAAGCAGCTTCAGCTTCGGCTATCATAACAGATATTTTACAATTAAGGCTTTTAAAGATAATATCTTTATTACTATCAGAATGAGTATCGGATATCAACAGATGATGATTTGCAACGTATAAATCTACGGCCATGACGAACATGGAATTGCCTTCGTCGTGAAGTTGAATTTGTTGGTAAATGTGTTGGTGTTGAAACAATTTTTTGAGAAGTTTGAGTAGTTGGATAATCTTGTTGTGAAGGTGATGTAGAAATTATAAGTGAAGGTTTAGTTTCAGTCTTGGTAGTTGGATAATTTTGTTGTGAGGGTGAAGTTTGACTACTTTCAGTTGGGGTTGTATTGGTAGTTGCAAATGTAGTTGTTGTTGATGATGGCTTTAAATAAAGTAAAGTGTTGATATTTATTATTTAGTTACGAACGATACTAAAAATGAAACAATAATAAAGAACATACCATAGATCAAGAATTATCGTAAAGTGGAGGAAGTTCTTCATCTTCAATAGTTTCTACATTTTCACCCCAAGTAGAAACATCTTTTTTCTTATGATCATAAACATTTTCATCATTATAATCGATATCATTGTAACCATAATTTTGTCTCGTTGAATGACCAGTATTTAATGTATTTCCGGTTAATATATTTATAGCATCAGTTGCAAAAGCAGAAGTATAGGTAGCAAGTTCTACAACTTTATATATAAAGTTTGCGATAATTTCAGGACGACGTATTTTAGAAATTCCTTTTGTTGGAAATCTTGTATTGAATTTGACTTCATTTTGTGTTTACCATGGATAGCCAGAAAGACAAATTTAAACGCCTCAACTCTGCATCCTTCGTTATGGAAATAGGTCAGAACGTGCGAATTCAAACGGCGCGAAAAGAATTGGTTACGTTGAAATAAAAAAAAGAAACAAGAAGAAACCTTTGCCACCTTTACCACCGGATACCCTTGGGGGATATGTTTTTAAAAAAATTTGGGTATTAGTAATATATATAGAGTTTATTGGAAGAAATGTAGAGTAAAGAGCAATAAAAAAATCGATTTTTGTTGCTCTGTGCGAGGTATTTTTTTATTATATATTTTTCGTGTACAAGAGTAATGGAAACATCCAACACCCGATGAAAAAAAAGATCGGAACTAAACGTAATGAGTAATATGAGTAATAATAATTTATTTATTTATTTTATGTAGAGTAAGGAGAAATACAATGAAAATCACATCACTATTCTAATATTGGAAACCATTATAAACTTCGTCCAAGCCAACGATAAAAATCCCTGGAGCGGACCCTTACTGGAATTAAAAAAGAAAACTACCCGGGACTTCGACCTAGGAAGAGTAGGAAGAGTAATAATAATTAATAATATGTAATTAGATAATTAAATAATATTTATTTGTAATAATGTGATATAATAAACATATAGGTAATATAATTTAATATAAATGTGATTACTAATTATGATGATGGTACGATAATCAATTTTAGGCTTAACCTAAAATAAACTCGACGGTAAAACAATTGTCATATAGAAACACATTGTTTCAATTACTCTAGTTATATATTAAAGAATTACATCGTACATAATTTTATTTGAAGATACTATAAGATAAGTTGTCCATTAGAAAGATATATTAAAAAAGGAAAAATCAATTTGAGACAATTATATAAGTATGACTACTAAAACAACCCATAACGGGACATAATGTGATTGAAGTCCATGTGCGGATGTATCGACTTGTGAATCTGGTAGGCGTGCGTGATGAGCCCGAAGTTGGTTTTTGGTGATATCATGATATTATTTTTTAAATGTTATTTTATTAAAGAAAAAATTAAATTTATTCATGAATTTATTGGTTTTACTAAAAAAAAAACTTATAGAATGATTTATGCAATTAAAAATGTTATATTAATATATATAATATTCAATAAAGGTTTTTACTTCAAATCACCAGGGGTGATCATCACCGTTGGCCAGAATTATCAATTTTTACCGGCACTATATTTTTTAATGCTGGTCGATTGTCATAATTTCAGTCACCGGTGATCATCACCCCGGTGATAGTTAGAAAAATTCATTAATAAATTAACAACAGATAATGAAAAAATAAACAGAAAATATTAATTAATAATTAAGCAATGACATTATCGAACCTGCTGTAGTAGCACATCCTAAAATAAAGTTGTAAGACCGAACCAAACTATAAAAAAATAGATTTAATTTAATTTAATAAATTGGTAAGAATAATAATTTAAAAGGAATAAAAAAAATGCTAATATTTAATAATTAATAATAAAAAAAACACCCCACTTGTTATTGAATTTGCTGCTGATCCGTTCACCCATAAACTATAGGCCAAACCTAAAATCATAAAAATATAAAATATAATTTAAATTAGTAAATTGGTAATAATATTAAAAGAATAAAATTACTAATGTTAATAATTAATAATCAAAAAACCCACCTGTTATTGAATTTTCTGTAATAGTAATAATAGTAGGGCTAAACCTAAAATCATAAAAAAAATTAAAATTTATGTTAGTAATCTTGTAGTAAAAAAAAAATAATAAATGAAAGATATTAATTAATAATCAAATAAGAAATCCAAAGGCCTATTGGAAAATTTGGAAGTATTGGAAGATTGAAATCTTCCAATAGGTCATGTGCGTTATGTGCGTTGGAAGTTCCCAATCAAATTTTTGTGCTATTGGAATTGATCTGATACACTTCCAATGTTTCCAATACCATTTTCCATTATAAAATCTAATAGATAATCTTTGTATAACTATAAAAAAATTTTTAAATCAAATTGTTTGTACATTTCATCATATTTATCTAAAACTAGGTAACGAAGCGTTATAATCACATGATCATCATTAAGAAATAAATCGATTATCAGTTATTGGGTGTTTAAACGTGTGCGGATTTTAATATTACTTTTGCGTGAAATTTATCTTTGCGGTATTAAAATTTACAAATTTTAATATTGTTCTGGTCAATATCTTACTTATTTTGGAAGTTATATGCAATGACTACGATGATTTGTTGACTATCTTTTCACTTTGTATTATTTTTAAGTTCTACTACGAAAATTATCATACGTACGCCATACATACATAACTGTTTTGACTTTTTAAGTAATAAGAATGTTAATCAATTCTTTGCTTGTTTCACAGCATGTGACACTTCTATAGAATTCTTTGTTGGAGTTTTGTTAAAAGTCTATTCGAAAAATCTTTTACATATTATAGTTCTAGATTGATTATTTAGAATTTCTTGGCACGATTCTTATAATAGAAACTTCTACGGATATTATATTACTATGGAATTTTCTGAGTTCGGATTAAAAACTCCTTGCTTAAAAGAAAACATATATATTTAGGCTTTTTTGTCTCAAGCAAAAGAGCTAAATTATTTTTTTTTTAAAAAAAAATTAATGATGGATCAATTATCAGACAACACATCTTTAGGCATGCCAACACAAACCACAATTAAACACAATCGTAAACGTAAAACGAAGATATTATGCAGCGAATGTAATCAAAGAAGAGAACTTTTAGAAGAAAATCATCATATTTGCGGCGTTTGTTATAAAGCGAAATTAGCATTTATACCAAGTGGAAACAAAGTTATTGATGATTTTATCATGCATACACTAACTAGTAGTAGTAAATTAGCTGGGAAAATGGTGTTCGTGCCTTATAACCAATTCAAAGATGTAAAATTTATTGCTAGGGGAGGTTTTAGTGAAATTTATAAGGCTATTTGGATTGATGGACCAGTAATAAATAAATGGATTAAGAAAAATCAAAGTTTTTATAAACCCGAATATAATAAAAATTATGAAGTCGTTCTTAAAAAGCTAAATAATTCTAAAGAAATCACATCTAAGGCGTTAAATGAGGTGATTACAATTATTTATTAACCTAACTTTGAATTAAGTAATTAATAAACTTTTTATTATTTAGCTCAAGATATTTCATGAATTTTCTTTAAATTGGAAAAAGAGGAAGTATAATGTTAAAAATAAAAATTATAATGAAATAAACAATTATATTAGTAAATATTTTGGTATTACTCAAGAACCCGTTACCAAAGATATCATGATTATTATGCCATATTATAATTTAGGTGATTTGGTAAACTACTTAACTAATGATTTCTATAGTATTGAATGGCATATTAAGTTAAAGAGGTTAAAAGAAATAATAAATGGACTTGCTAATGTACATAGTGTAAATATTTTACATAGAGATTTTCATAGTGGAAATATCTTTTGTGACGGATATGAAACCGCATACTTAGGTGATTTGGGCTTAAGTAAATCTGCAACTGAATTTACAGATGATGATAATAACAATGAGAATTATGGTATAATTCCTTATATGGCACCAGAGATTTTTAAAGGACAAAAATATACCAAAGAATCAGACATATATAGTTTTGGAATGATTATGTGGGAATTTATGACAGGTAGAAGACCTTTTTGGAATAGAAGTCATGATGCAGAACTTATAATAGAAATATGTGATGGTTTAAGACCACCAATTGTTACAAATGCGCCCGAAGGATATATTGAATTAATGAAAGAATGCTGGAATTCAGATCCTAATAAAAGACCAGAAGCTACTGATATATATAATAGAATTGATAAAATGTGGCTAAATGAAAGTAGAACTACTAAAATTATAAAATCATCAGAAATTGGGCCTGTAACAACAAATAATCCAGGGGCTATTTATAGGAGTAGATTTTTGAGTGGTATAATTCAATCTGCAATGTTTACAATGTCTACAAGAAGTTTAAGAAGCGAGTCTATAACTGCAGGAGTTGGTAAATATAGTATTAAATATTTCGCTTTAATTAAAAACAATAATAATTAATACTCTACTTCATTATTATTTAGATTTATTTCATTGTCATCAAAAAAATGATATAACATTTAATGGTAATTATTATTCGTTTAAAGTTATTAACTAATATAATTCTAAGTAATATTAATAAGTTTATTCTTTAAGATAAAAGAAAGTTTGATAACAATCAAATTGAAAACAGTTTTAATGAAGGTATGATAAAAGTCAAAATTTTATATATAAACGTCATTCAATATTTACCAATTAAATAATAAAATATTTCCAGATAAAATTATTAAAAAGATTAAATTAATCGAAAATGAAAATAATGGTAAAAAATATCTTACGTATTTTCAATAAATATAATTTATGCTTTAATTTAATTATTTTTCGTTTTCATTTATTTAGATTATATTACGCAAGAATTTGAATTGGATATAGATATAAATTCTGAACAATATATCATTGACGAAAGTAAGTAAAAATATTATATTTTTAAAAACTATGTTCTTAATAACCTAATTTCTTTTAAATTTATTAGAGTCCAATATTTACACTTATTTTTTTAATAATATTAGTTATATATATATATATTAATTTAGTTGAACATTATATAAATTATGTATAGAAAATAAATTTATTGATATTTAAATAAAGCAAGCTTAACATTGCGGCGGATTTATGAAATTTGGCAAAAATTCTGCTGCGGTCTCGGGAATTAAAATTGACTTACAGAAAAATTAAGCTTTTTTTCCTAAAAAATATCAAATAATGACGCGCCTTTAACACTAGAAAAATTGGTTAGATAATGGGAAAATTGGTTTGATGCAAGATTTGGGTACAAAAAAAATTTTTAGAGCTCATTTTTGACTGTTCACTAATAAATTTGGGACTTAAATAGAAATTTGGTGACTAAAATTACTGTCAAATATTTATTTAATTTGACATGACGGACAAATTTGTGGTATTTCATAAAA